TGTTGACAGTGAGACTGAGGATCTAGTGGCGTGTTGACAGTGAGACTGAGGATCTAGTGGCATGTTGACAAAGTGAGACTGAGGATCTAGTGGCATGTTGACAAAGTGAGACTGAGGATCTAGTGGCGTGTTGACAGTGAGACTGAGGGTCTAGTGGCGTGTTGACAGTGAGACTGAGGGTCTAGTGGCATGTTGACAAAGTGAGACTGAGGATCTAGTGGCGTGTTGACAAAGTGAGACTGAGGGTCTAGAAGCGTGTTGACAGTGAGACTGAGGATCTAGTGGCATGTTGACAGTGAGACTGAGGGTCTAGTGGCGTGTTGACAGTGAGACTGAGGATCTAGTGGCATATTGACAAAGTGAGACTGAGGGTCTAGTGGCGTGTTCACAGTGAGACTGAGGGTCTAGTGGTGTGTTGACAAAGTGAGACTGAGGATCTAGTCGCGTGTTGACAGTGAGACTGAGGGTCTAGTGGCGTGTTGACAGTGAGACTGAGGATCTAGTGGCGTGTTTACAGTGAGACTGAGGATCTAGTGGCGTGTTGACAGTGAGACTGAGGATCTAGTGGCATGTTGACAAAGTGAGACTGAGGGTCTAGTGGCGTGTTGACAGTGAGACTGAGGATCTATTGGCGTGTTGACAAAGTGAGACTGAGGATCTAGTGGCATATTGACAAAGTGAGACTGAGGGTCTAGTGGCGTGTTCACAGTGAGACTGGGGATCTAGTGGCATGTTGACAAAGTGAGACTGAGGATCTAGTGGCGTGTTGACAGTGAGACTGAGGGTCTAGTGGCGTGTTGACAGTGAGATTGAGGATCTAGTGGCTTGTTGACAGTGAGACTGAGGGTCTAGTGGCGTGTTGATAGTGAGACTGAGGGTCTAGTGGCGTGTTGACAATGAGACTGAGGGTCTAGTGGCGTGTTGACAAAGTGAGACTGAGGATCTAGTGGCGTGTTGACAGTGAGACTGAGGGTCTAGTGGCGTGTTGATAGTGAGACTGAGGGTCTAGTGGCGTGTTGACAATGAGACTGAGGATCTAGTGGCGTGTTGACAGTGAGACTGAGGGTCTAGTGGCGTGTTGACAGTGAGACTGAGGGTCTAGTGGCATGTTGACAATGAGACTGAGGGTCTAGTGGCGTGTTCACAAAGTGAGACTAAGGATCTAGTGGCGTGTTGACAAAGTGAGACTGAGGGTCTAGTGGCGTGTTGACAGTGAGACTGAGGGTCTAGTGGCGTGTTGACAATGAGACTGAGGGTCTAGTGGCGTGTTGACAAAGTGAGACTGAGGATCTAGTGGCGTGTTGACAGTGAGACTGAGGGTCTAGTGGCTTGTTGATAGTGAGACTGAGGGTCTAGTGGCGTGTTGACAATGAGACTGAGGATCTAGTGGCGTGTTGACAGTGAGACTGAGGATCTAGTGGCGTGTTGACAGTGAGACTGAGGGTCTAGTGGCGTGTTGACAGTGAGACTGAGGGTCTAGTGGCGTGTTGACAGTGAGACTGAGGGTCTAGTGGCGTGTTGACAATGAGACTGAGGGTCTAGTGGCGTGTTCACAAAGTGAGACTAAGGATCTAGTGGCGTGTTGACAAAGTGAGACTGAGGGTCTAGTGGCGTGTTGACAGTGAGACTGAGGGTCTAGTGGCGTGTTGACAGTGAGACTGAGGGTCTAGTGGCGTGTTGACAGTGAGACTGAGGGTCTAGTGGCGTGTTGACAATGAGACTGAGGATCTAGTGGCGTGTTGACAGTGAGACTGAGGGTCTAGTGGCATGTTGACAAAGTGAGACTGAGGGTCTAGTGGCGTGTTCACAAAGTGAGACTGAGGGTCTAGTGGCGTGTTTACAAAGTGAGACTGAGGGTCTAGTGGCGTGTTGACAGTGAGACTGAGGGTCTAGTGGCGTGTTCACAAAGTGAGACTGAGGGTCTAGTGGCATGTTGACAAAGTGAGACTGAGGGTCTAGTGGCGTGTTCACAAAGTGAGACTGAGGATCTAGTGGCGTGTTGACAGTGAGACTGAGGGTCTAGTGGCGTGTTCACAAAGTGAGACTGAGGGTCTAGTGGCGTGTTGACACTGAGACTGAGGATCTAGTGGCGTGTTGACAAAGTGAGACTGAGGGTCTAGTGGCATGTTGACAGTGAGACTGAGAGTCTAGTGGCGTGTTGACAGTGAGACTGAGGGTCTAGTGGCGAGTTGACAGTGAGACTGAGGGTCTAGTGGCGTGTTGACAGTGAGACTGAGGGTCTAGTGGCGTGTTGACAGTGAGACTGAGGATCTAGTGGCGTGTTGACAGTGAGACTGAGGGTCTAGTGGCGTGTTGACAGTGAGACTGAGGATCTAGTGGCGTGTTGACAGTGAGACTGAGGGTCTAGTGGCGTGTTGACAGTGAGACTGAGGGTCTAGTGGCGTGTTCACAAAGTGAGACTGAGGGTCTAGTGGCGTGTTTACAAAGTGAGACTGAGGGTCTAGTGGCGTGTTGACAGTGAGACTGAGGGTCTAGTGGCGTGTTCACAAAGTGAGACTGAGGGTCTAGTGGCATGTTGACAAAGTGAGACTGAGGGTCTAGTGGCGTGTTCACAAAGTGAGACTGAGGATCTAGTGGCGTGTTGACAGTGAGACTGAGGGTCTAGTGGCGTGTTCACAAAGTGAGACTGAGGGTCTAGTGGCGTGTTGACACTGAGACTGAGGATCTAGTGGCGTGTTGACAAAGTGAGACTGAGGGTCTAGTGGCATGTTGACAGTGAGACTGAGAGTCTAGTGGCGTGTTGACAGTGAGACTGAGGGTCTAGTGGCGAGTTGACAGTGAGACTGAGGGTCTAGTGGCGTGTTGACAGTGAGACTGAGGGTCTAGTGGCGTGTTGACAGTGAGACTGAGGATCTAGTGGCGTGTTGACAGTGAGACTGAGGGTCTAGTGGGCGTGTTCACAGTGAGACTGAGGATCTAGTGGCGTGTTGACAGTGAGACTGAGGGTCTAGTGGCGTGTTGACAGTGAGACTGAGGGTCTAGTGGCGTGTTGACAGTGAGACTGAGGGTCTAGTGGCTTGTTGACAGTGAGACTGAGGGTCTAGTGGCGTGTTGACAGTGAGACTGAGGGTCTAGTGGCGTGTTGACAGTGAGACTGAAGGTCTAGTGGCGTGTTGACAAAGTGAGACTGAGGGTCTAGTGGCATGTTGACAGTGAGACTGAGGGTCAAGTGGCGTGTTGACAGTGAGACTGAGGGTCTAGTGGCATGTTGACAGTGATACTGAGGGTCTAGTGGCATGTTGACAGTGAGACTGAGGGTCTAGTGGCGTGTTTACAGTGAGACTGAGGGTCTAGTGGCGTATTCACAAAGTGAGACTGAGGGTCTAGTGGCGTGTTTACAGTGAGACTAAGGATCTAGTGGCGTGTTGACAGTGAGACTGAGGGTCTAGTGGCTTGTTGACAGTGAGACTGAGGGTCTAGTGGCGTGTTGACAGTGAGACTGAGGGTCTAGTGGCTTGTTGACAGTGAGACTGAGGGTCTAGTGGCGTGTTGACAGTGAGACTGAGGGTCTAGTGGCGTGTTGACAGTGAGACTGAGGGTCTAGTGGCGTGTTGACAAAGTGAGACTGAGGGTCTAGTGGCATGTTGACAGTGAGACTGAGGGTCTAGTGGCGTGTTGACAGTGAGACTGAGGGTCTAGTGGCATGTTGACAGTGATACTGAGGGTCTAGTGGCATGTTGACAGTGAGACTGAGGGTCTAGTGGCGTGTTTACAGTGAGACTGAGGGTCTAGTGGCGTGTTCACAAAGTGAGACTGAGGGTCTAGTGGCGTGTTTACAGTGAGACTAAGGATCTAGTGGCGTGTTGACAGTGAGACTGAGGGTCTAGTGGCTTGTTGACAGTGAGACTGAGGGTCTAGTGGCATGTTCACAAAGTGAGACTGAGGGTCTAGTGGCTTGTTGACAGTGAGACTGAGGGTCTAGTGACGTGTTGACAGTGAGACTGAGGGTCTAGTGGCGTGTTGACACTGAGACTGAGGATCTAGTGGCGTGTTGACAAAGTGAGACTGAGGGTCTAGTGGCATGTTGACAGTGAGACTGAGAGTCTAGTGGCGTGTTGACAGTGAGACTGAGGATCTAGTGGCTTGTTGACAGTGAGACTGAGGATCTAGTCACGTGTTGACAGTGAGACTGAGGGTCTAGTGGCGTGTTGACACTGAGACTGAGGATCTAGTGGCGTGTTGACAAAGTGAGACTGAGGGTCTAGTGGCATGTTGACAGTGAGACTGAGGGTCTAGTGGCGAGTTGACAGTGAGACTGAGGGTCTAGTGGCGTGTTGACAGTGAGACTGAGGGTCTAGTGGCGTGTTTACAGTGAGACTGAGGGTCTAGTGGCGTGTTGACAGTGAGACTGAGGGTCTAGTGGCGTGTTGACAGTGAGACTGAGGGTCTAGTGGCGTGTTTACAGTGAGACTGAGGGTCTAGTGGCGTGTTGACAGTGAGACTGAGGGTCTAGTGGCGTGTTGACAGTGAGACTGAGGATCTAGTGGCTTGTTGACAGTGAGACTGAGGATCTAGTCACGTGTTGACAGTGAGACTGAGGGTCTAGTGGCGTGTTGACACTGAGACTGAGGATCTAGTGGCGTGTTGACAAAGTGAGACTGAGGGTCTAGTGGCATGTTGACAGTGAGATTGAGGGTCTAGTGGCGAGTTGACAGTGAGACTGAGGGTCTAGTGGCGTGTTGACAGTGAGACTGAGGGTCTAGTGGCGTGTTTACAGTGAGACTGAGGGTCTAGTGGCGTGTTGACAGTGAGACTGAGGGTCTAGTGGCGTGTTGACAGTGAGACTGAGGGTCTAGTGGCGTGTTGACAGTGAGACTGAGGGTCTAGTGGCGTGTTGACAGTGAGACTGCGGGTCTAGTGGCGTGTTGACAGTGAGACTGAGGGTCTAGTGGCTTGTTGACAGTGAGACTGAGGGTCTAGTGGCGTGTTGACAGTGAGACATGCAGTTAACACAGGCTCAGGTCCATGTGTTCTTTCAGCGATCTCCTCCGATGAGCTGAAGCTGGGTGTAGTCCAGGTGCTGGGGACCCTCCTCAAGAGTGCTGATGAGACGTAAGTTTGTTTGTTTGTTGTTTGCCAGCTATATGGCAGCGTTCTGTAAATAGTCGATTCTGAACCAGAGAATTCAGTGATTGACATCATGAGCATCGATCCAAGCATCACGGGTCAGAGGTAAGTATGACAGTTTCACCATGGTAGGTGATACGTTTAAACAGTGACACGCTAGACCATAGCAGATGACCTCGCATGATGAACACCCCCATGTTAGTGTTCATTTCCTGATGAAAGTCAGTATGTCGCCGGAGATATGCAATACTACTTTGGGGGAATTCCTGAATGTCAAAAAAATAACTTCAAATAGGGCTTTAAAGCAAGACGGATCATGTTTAGATTGGGTCAGTGTAATGCAGCGTTCATTACAACAAGGAAGGCTGTACTCACCAAGAGAAATCACTTGGCTCCACATGGTCTGTATTGCATTGGGAAATCCAAACCGCGCCGCCTCAAGGAGCAACCCCGTCATCAGCAACTCATCTTGCCTTTATGTTACTCCAACACCTTCCCAAGGTTCACAGTTCATATTAATCCATGTTCAACATGACCTGGGTCTGAATATCTTCCCAATTCCAACTTTACTTGCTGCAACTTCTATTTGTGAATGACATTTGCTGCGGCTGCCATTTTATGACTTTTTGATGAACCAAGGGAGGTAACTGTTAATGGAATGCAAAAGCAACTCTCCGCGTTCATACAGTTCGCTTTAAATATATTACACCTTGGGGCTTAAATGGATTATTTTGTTCTGATTTTGTATCTGTCAATATGAGGATTGAAGTTGTATTTGTTAACGTTGATCAGCTGATGAAGATAGTCGCACACGTTAGCAAATTCAATGAAACTCTTCGGCCATCATGGAATTGCTTACGTGAGGCACTGTCTCCATCAGCTGATGAACGTCAACAAATACAACATCAATCCATCAGTGGTAAGGGTAAGGGTTACAACAGGCTTTGTATGTTCCAGCGTGGTCCGCTGCCTGTTCTCTGCGTACAGCCTGCCAGCGGTGGGCTATGCTGTGTCCGTGTTGCTGAGGTTAGGGGAGACTGACAAGTGTCGGGATGTTCAGCTTGCTGCCATGGAAACGCTTCTCTGTCTGAGTCATGCTGACAGCACAAGTATGTCCCATGTCTCTTCAGCCGCTTAACTCTCTTAACTCTATCACATTTCACAATGTCTTAAATGTGTATTCAATTTCAATTTATAAATTTTTATCAATAACTTTTAAAATTATTCACTATTTCCCGCAATGTTATTGAAAATAAAATTCTCGGACAAACACTTTGACGTGTCCACATCGAACATGTCAAAGAGCAAAATAAAGACGTTTTAAGCAAATCTTTAAATACATTATACAAAGTAATAAACAAAATAAAAAATATGTCTAAAAGTTGTCAAACTTACATCTAAGATATTATTTCCATCTCTTTTTCATATGATCGCATGTAATGTAATGCCTCGGTCTCCAGACCAGGTCCCCAGCATTCTTTGACTTGTCACTCTATTGTGACCTGGGTAAGACCAGGTCCCCAGCATTCTTTGACTTGTCACTCTATTGTTACCTGGGTAAGACCAGGTCTCCAGCACTCTATTACTTCTCACTCTATTGTTACCTGAGTTAGACCAGGTCTCCAGCACTCCAATTCTTGTCACTATGTTGTTACCTGGGTTAGACCAGGTCCCCAGCACTCTATTACTTGTCACTCTATTGTTACCTGGGTAAGACCAGATCCCCAGCACTCTATTACTTGTCACTCTATTGTTACCTGGGTAAGACCAGGTCTCCAGCACTCTATTACTTCTCACTCTATTGTTACCTGAGTTAGACCAGGTCTCCAGCACTCCAATTCTTGTCACTATGTTGTTACCTGGGTTAGACCAGGTCCCCAGCACTCTATTACTTGTCACTCTATTGTTACCTGGGTAAGACCAGATCCCCAGCACTCTATTACTTGTCACTCTATTGTTACCTGGGTAAGACCAGGTCTCCAGCACTCTATTACTTCTCACTCTATTGTTACCTGAGTTAGACCAGGTCTCCAGCACTCCAATTCTTGTCACTATGTTGTTACCTGGGTTAGACCAGGGCCCCAGCACTCTATTACTTGTCACTCTATTGTTACCTGGGTAAGACCAGATCCCCGGCACTCTATTACTTGTCACTCTATTGTTACCTGGGTTAGACCAGGTCTCCAGCACTCCAATACTTGTCACTCTATTGTTACCTTGGTAAAACCAGGTCTCCGACACTCTATTACTTGTCACTCTATTGTTACCTGGGTTAGACCAGGTCTCCAGCACTCCAATACTTGTCACTATGTTGTTACCTGGGTTAGACCAGGTCTCCAGCACTTGTCACTCTATTGTTACCTGGGTTAGACCAAGTCCCCGGCGCTCTATTACTTGTCACTCTATTGTTACCTGGGTAAGACCAGATCCTCGGCACTCTATTACTTGTCACCCTATTGTTACCTGGGTTAGACCAGATCCCCGGCACTCTATTACTTGTCACCCTATTGTTACCTGGGTAAGACCCGGTCTCCAGCACTCCAATACTTGTCACTCTATTGTTACCTTGGTAAAACCAGGTCTCCATCACTCTTTTACTTGTCACTCTATTGTTACCTGGGTTAGACCAGGTCTCCAGCACTCTATTACTTGTCACTCTATTGTTACCTGGGTAAGACCAGGTCTCCAGCACTCTATTACTTGTCACTCTATTGTTACCTGGGTTAGACCAGATCCCCGGCACTCTATTACTTGTCACCCTATTGTTACCTTGGTTAAACCAGGTCTCCAGCACTCTATTACTTGTCACTCTGTTGTGACCTTAGTTAGACCCGGTCTCCAGCACTCAATTACTTGTCACTCTATTGTTACCTGGGTAAGACCAGGTCTCCAGCACTCTATTACTTGTCACTCTATTGTTACCTGGGTTAGAACAGGTCCCCAGCACTCTATTACTTGTCACTCTATTGTTACCTGGGTTAGAACAGGTCTCCATCACTCTATTACTTGTCACTCTATTGTTACCTGGGTTAGAACAGGTCCCCAGCACTCTATTACTTGCCTTTTTCTTTTCTGCAGGTGGACTGAAGGCGAGGGTGATCTATGGCAACTTGTTTGCTTCCTTCTTGCCTGGTATCACCATATCTCTGTGTAGGATCGCTACAGGGGACACCAAGCAGGGCCATGCAGTGTTGTGTGTGAGTATCTCTCTGTAGGATCACTACAGTGGACACCAAGCTGTGTTGTGTGTGAGTATCTGTGTGTAAGATCACTACAGGGGACACCAAGCTGTGTTGTGTGTGAGTATCTCTGTGTAGGATCGCTACAGGGGACACCAAGCTGTGTTGTGTGTGAGTATCTCTCTGTAGGATCACTACAGGGAACACCAAGCTGTTATGTGTGAGTATCTCTGTGTAGGATCACTACAGGGGACACCAAGCTGTGTTATGTGTGAGTATCTCTGTGTAGGATCACTACAGGGAACACCAAGCAGTGTTGTGTGTGAGTATCTCTGTGTAGGATCACTTCAGTGGACACCAAGCTGTGTTGTGTGTGAGTATCTCTGTGTAGGATCACTACAGGGGACACCAAGCTGTGTTGTGTGTGAGTATCTCTGTGTAGGATCACTACAGGGAACACCAAGCTGTGTTGTGTGTGAGTATCTCTGTGTAGGATCACTACAGGGAACACCAAGCTGTGTTGTGTGTGAGTATCTCTGTGTAGGATTGCTACAGGGAACACCAAGCAGTGTTGTGTGTGAGTATCTCTGTGTAGGATCACTACAGGGGACACCAAGCAGTGTTGTGTGTGAGTATCTCTGTGTAGGATCACTACAGGGGACACCAAGCTGTGTTGTGTGTGAGTATCTCTGTGTAGGATCACTACAGGGAACACCAAGCTGTGTTGTGTGTGAGTATCTCTGTGTAGGATCACTACAGGGAACACCAAGCAGTGTTGTGTGTGAGTATCTCTCTGTAGGATCACTACAGGGGACACCAAGCTGTGTTATGTGTGAGTATCTCTGTGTAGGATCACTACAGGTGACACCAAGCTTTGTTATGTGTGAGTATCTCTGTGTAGGATCACTACAGGGGACACCAAGCTGTGTTGTGTGTGAGTATCTCTCTGTAGGATCACTACAGGGGACACCAAGCAGTGTTGTGTGTGAGTATCTCTGTGTGGGATCACTACAGGGGACACCAAGCTGTGTTATGTGTGAGTATCTCTGTGTAGGATCACTAGAGGGAACACCAAGCTGTGTTGTGTGTGAGTATCTCTGTGTAGGATCACTACAGGTGACACCAAGCTGTGTTGTGTGTGAGTATCTCTTGTGTTGGATCACTACAGGTGACACCAAGCAGAGTTGTGTGTGAGTATCTCTGTGTAGGATCACTACAGGGAACACCAAGCAATGTTGTGTGTGAGTATCTCTCTGTAGGATCGCTACAGCGGACACCAAGCAGATTTGTGTGTGAGTATCTCTGTGTAAGATCACTACAGGGGACACCAAGCAGTGTTGTGTGTGAGTATCTCTGTGTAGGATCACTACAGGGGACACCAAGCTGTGTTATGTGTGAGTATCTCTGTGTAGGATCACTACAGGGGACACCAAGCAGTGTTGTGTGTGAGTATCTCTCTGTAGGATCGCTACAGCGGACACCAAGCAGATTTGTGTGTGAGTATCTCTGTGTAAGATCACTACAGGGGACACCAAGCAGTGTTGTGTGTGAGTATCTCTGTGTAGGATCACTACAGGGGACACCAAGCTGTGTTATGTGTGAGTATCTCTGTGTAGGATTGCTACAGGGAACACCAAGCTGTGTTGTGTGTGAGTATCTCTTGTGTTGGATCACTACAGGGAACACCAAGCTGTGTTATGTGTGAGTATCTCTGTGTAGGATCACTACAGGGGACACCAAGCTGTGTTGTGTGTGAGTATCTCTTGTGTTGGATCGCTACAGGGGACACCAAGCAGTTTTGTGTGTGAGTATCTCTGTGTAGGATCACTACAGGGGACACCAAGCAGTGTTGTGTGTGAGTATCTCTGTGTAGGATCACTACAGGGAACACCAAGCAGTGTTGTGTGTGAGTATCTCTGTGCAGGATCACTACAGGGAACACCAAGCTGTGTTGTGTGTGAGTATCTCTGTGTAGGATCACTACAGGTGACACCAAGCTGTGTTGTGTGTGAGTATCTCTGTGTAGGATCACTACAGGTGACACCAAGCTATGTTGTGTGTGAGTATCTCTGTGTAAGATCGCTACAGGTGACACCAAGCTGTGTTGTGTGTGAGTATCTCTTGTGTTGGATCACTACAGGGGACACCAAGCAGGGGCATGCAGTGTTGTGTGTGAGTACAGGGTTTTACCGTGACTTACAAAAGTGGGGGTTCAGGGGACCCCCAATAATTATTTTAAGCGTCCCTGCAGACAGTATGATGGTCCTGTAAAGAAGTGAAATGGTGTCGTGTACTGTATTCATTTTTTATTTTTTTTATCATTTTTTTATTTTCAGTCATTTTACATTTATTTGATAAAATGTGACATTCCAGTACATAGTTGATTAATCATCGAAATAGATGATGGCAAGTTGACCAAAATTTATAGAATAGGCCAATGTCACACTCAGTAATCGCTGAACGTTTAGTTAGGTTGTAGTAGTTTCTTATTTCCTTCTGAAAGACTTGAAATGACGGGAGTCTCTTGTTTCACTTACTTTTAAATATAAGGTCTCTATGATGATATTTAGAGGGTCATTGCGCTTTTCTGGAAAACCAATCATCACATGTTTCTTTGTAATTTCGATTTGGATGTTAGCCTTTTGAAGTAGCCAAACTTCAAGTTGACGCCAGATTTGCTGAACCATATTACAGGACCAGAAAAGATGGATTGGGGTCTCAATATCAACTGAACAAAAACTGCAATTTCGACTTCCAACATAACCTAATTTACACAAGAAAACATTATTCAGAAGTATATGATGAAGTATTTTGTATTGGAGCCATTGCAGTTTAGTGTCTCTTGTACATCGAAAAGGCATTCTATTGTATTGGGACCAGTTATCAATTGAATCATCCTTTAGAATATTCTTTTCCCATTTCGTACAGTGTACATTTTTTGTAGTGATATCTGAAATTAGTAAGTTGTAGAAGCATTTCGATCCATTTGCAAATTTAAGCACATTTTCGATACTTGGGGGTATAATTGGATTTTGCAACTTGTTCAATTCTTCTAGTTCAACATTACTTGCCTTGAAATAGTGTTTAATGGCGACGATAAGGCCGTTATATAGTAAGAAGTTCGTTTTTATCTCGAAAGATTTTGAAAAGTTGTCAAACGACAGACATTTTCCATCTTTGTCAAGGAGGTCATTAATGAAACGTACCCCCTTTTGATTCCAGGTGCTATAAAAGACGGGCTTACGCCCAATACATATATTACTGTTAAACCAAATATTATCGGCCAGTAAATGATTTACGTTATGTTCCAGTTGGGCGTTTAAATCCCACCAGGCAGTCAAAATATCTTTGTAGTAATTTCTTAAGTACTGTATTCATGTGTTGATAATTACTTCAGAGCCTGGAATGAATCAGTGATCATGCGGAAAGTAGTCATGATTGATGGGTGAAATCAGAGATGCACATGACTGCTCTTGATGTGCTGTAGGTACAATGAATGTTATTGTGCGTCCCGAGGGGTGCAGTGTAATTGTTTCTGCGCCAATTCTCTATATACGTGGTGTAAACTCCTAGAGTTTAGGGTTAGGTAGTCTATCTGTTACAGAGGGCTGTAGAGGTGTGGACTAAAGTAGTCTATCTGTTACAGAGGGCTGTAGAGGTGTGGACTAAAGTAATCTATCTGTTACAGAGGGCTGTAGAGGTGTGGACTAAAGTAATCTATCTGTTACAGAGGGCTGTAGAGGTGTGGACTAAAGTAATCTATCTGTTACAGAGGGCTGTAGAGGTGTGGACTAAAGTAATCTATCTGTTACAGAGGGCTGTAGAGGTGTGGACTAAAGTAGTCTATCTGTTACAGAGGGCTGTAGAGGTGTGGACTAAAGTAATCTATCTGTTACAGAGGGCTGTAGAGGTGTGGACTAAAGTAATCTATCTGTTACAGAGGGCTGTAGAGGTGTGGACTATAGTAATCTATCTGTTACAGAGGGCTGTAGAGGTGTGGACTAAAGTAGTCTATCTGTTACAGAGGGCTGTAGAGGTGTGGACTAAAGTAATCTATCTGTTACAGAGGGCTGTAGAGGTGTGGACTAAAGTAATCTATCTGTTACAGAGGGCTGTAGAGGTGTGGACTAAAGTAGTCTATCTGTTACAGAGGGCTGTAGAGGTATGGACTAAAGTAGTCTATCTGTTACAGAGGGCTGTAGAGGTGTGGACTAAAGTAATCTATCTGTTACAGAGGGCTGTAGAGGTGTGGACTAAAGTAATCTATCTGTTACAGAGGGCTGTAGAGGTGTGGACTAAAGTAATCTATCTGTTACAGAGGGCTGTAGAGGTGTGGACTAAAGTAGTCTATCTGTTACAGAGGGCTGTAGAGGTGTGGACTTAAGTAGTCTATCTGTTACAGAGGGCTGTAGAGGTGTGGACTAAAGTAGTCTATCTGTTACAGAGGGCTGTAGAGGTGTGGACTAAAGTAATCTATCTGTTACAGAGGGCTGTAGAGGTGTGGACTAAAGTAATCTATCTGTTACAGAGGGCTGTAGAGGTGTGGACTAAAGTAATCTATCTGTTACAGAGGGCTGTAGAGGTGTGGACTAAAGTAGTCTATCTGTTACAGAGGGCTGTAGAGGTGTGGACTAAAGTAGTCTATCTGTTACAGAGGGCTGTAGATGTGTGGACTAAAGTAGTCTATCTGTTACAGAGGGCTGTAGAGGTGTGGACTAAAGTAGTCTATCTGTTACAGAGGGCTGTAGAGGTGTGGACTAAAGTAGTCTATCTGTTACAGAGGGCTGTAGAGGTGTGGACTAAAGTAGTCTATCTGTTACAGAGGGCTGTAGAGGTGTGGACTAAAGTAGTCTATCTGTTACAGAGGGCTGTAGAGGTGTGGACTAAAGTAGTCTATCTGTTACAGAGGGCTGTAGAGGTGTGGACTAAAGTAGTCTATCTGTTACAGAGGGCTGTAGGGTTGTGGACTACAGTAGTCTATCTGTTACAAAGGGCTGTAGAGGTGTGGACTACAGTAGTCTATCTGTTACAGAGGGCTGTAGAGGTGTGGACTACAGTAGTCTATCTGTTACAGAGGGCTGTAGAGGTGTGGACTACAGTAGTCTATCTGTTACAGAGGGCTGTAGAGGTGTGGACTACAGTAGTCTATCTGTTACAGAGGGCTGTAGAGGTGTGGACTACAGTAGTCTATCTGTTACAGAGGGTTGTAGAGGTGTGGACTAAAGTAGTCTATCTGTTACAGAGGGCTGTAGAGGTGTGGACTACATTAGTCTATCTGTTACAGAGGGCTGTAGAGGTGTGGACTAAAGTAATCTATCTGTTACAGAGGGCTGTAGGGGTGTGGACTACAGTAGTCTATCTGTTACAGAGGGCTGTAGAGGTGTGGACTAAAGTAGTCTATCTGTTACAGAGGGCTGTAGAGGTGTGGACTAAAGTAGTCTATCTGTTACAGAGGTCTGTAGAGGTGTGGACTATAGTAGTCTGTCTGTTACAGAGGGCTGTAGAGGTGTGGACTAAAGTAATCTATCTGTTACAGAGGGCTGTAGAGGTGTGGACTATAGTAATCTATCTGTTACAGAGGGCTGTAGAGGTGTGGACTAAAGTAATCTATCTGTGACAGAGGGTTGTAGAGGTGTGGACTAAAGTAATCTATCTGTTACAGAGGGCTGTAGAGGTGTGGACTAAAGTAATCTATCTGTTACAGAGGGCTGTAGAGGTGTGGACTATAGTAATCTATCTGTTACAGAGGGCTGTAGAGGTGTGGACTAAAGTAGTCTATCTGTTACAGAGGGCTGTAGAGGTGTGGACTAAAGTAGTCTATCTGTTACAGAGGGTTGTAGAGGTGTGGAATAAGGTAGTCTATCTGTTACAGAGGTCTGTAGAGGTTTGGACTAAAGTAGTCTATCTGTTACAGAGGGCTGTAGAGTTGTGGACTAAAGTAGTCTATCTGTTACAGAGGGCTGTAGAGGTGTGGACTAAAGTAGTCTATCTGTTACAGAGGGCTGTAGAGGTGTGGACTAAGGTAATCTATCTGTTACAGAGGGCTGTAGAGGTGTGGACTAAAGTAGTTTATCTGTTACAGAGGGCTGTAGAGGTGTGGACTAAAGTAATCTATCTGTTACAGAGGGCTGTAGAGGTGTGGACTAAGGTAGTCTATCTGTTACAGAGGGCTGTAGAGGTGTGGACTAAAGTAATCTATCTGTTACAGAGGGCTGTAGAGTTGTGGACTAAAGTAGTTTATCTATTACAGAGGGCTGTAGAGTTGTGGACTAAAGTAATCTATCTGTTACAGAGGGTTGTAGAGGTGTGGACTAAAGTAATCTATCTGTTACAGAGGGCTGTAGAGGTGTGGACTAAAGTAGTTTATCTGTAACAGAGGGCTGTAGAGGTGTGGACTAAAGTAGTCTATCTGTTACAGAGGGCTGAAGAGGTGTGGACTAAAGTAATCTATCTGTTACAGAGGGCTGTAGAGGTGTGGACTAAAGTAGTTTATCTGTTACAGAGGGCTGTAGAGGTGTGGACTAAAGTAGTCTATCTGTTACAGAGGGCTGAAGAGGTGTGGACTAAAGTAGTCTATCTGTTACAGAGGGCTGTAGAGGTGTGGACTAAAGTAGTCTATCTGTTACAGAGGGCTGTAGATGTGTGGACTAAAGTAGTTGATCTGTTACAGAGGGTTGTAGAAGTGTATACTAAAGTAGTTGATCTGTTACAGAGGGCTGTAGAGGTGTGGACTAAAGTAGTCGATCTGTTACAGAGGGCTGTAGATGTGTGGACTAAAGTAGTTGATCTGTTACAGAGGGCTGTAGAGGTGTGGACTAAAGTAGTTGATCTGTTACAGAGGGCTGTAGATGTGTGGACTAAGGTAGTCTATCTGTTACAGAGGGCTGTAGATGTGTGGACTAAAGTAGTTGATCTGTTACAGAGGGTTGTAGAAGTGTATACTAAAGTAGTTGATCTGTTACAGAGGGCTGTAGAGGTGTGGACTAAAGTAGTCTATCTGTTACAGAGGGCTGTAGATGTGTGGACTAAAGTAGTTGATCTGTTACAGAGGGCTGTAGAGGTGTGGACTAAAGTAGTTGATCTGTTACAGAGGGCTGTTGAGGTGTGGACTAAAGTAGTCGATCTGTTACAGAGGGCTGTAGAGGTGTGGACTAAGGTAGTCTATCTGTTACAGAGGGCTGTAGAGGTGTGGACTAAAGTAGTCTATCTGTTACAGAGGGCTGTAGAGTTGTGGACTAAAGTAGTGTGCCTTGTCCTTGAAGATTCCCAGCTTGAAGAAAGTCAGGAACAGAACGAGGTCCGAGGTGAGATTTCCAGATTGCTGTGGTTGCATCAACCATTGTCTTCATGAACCACTGACAACTTACAAACTCGTGTGCTGGACTGTTGCTGAGAGCCAGGTAGACCAACATGCACTCACTCCTCTGGTTGGTATTTGTAGATGACCTTGACGAGAGGTTGCGGGGCCTGGTTGTACGGAGGTTGCCAGAGTGGGTGAAGGTCACAGCCTCCAAGATGCTGGTCCTGGTGCGGCAGATGGCCTCCCTGACATCCCACCCCAACTGGAGGGTTAGGAATGCTCTTGTGGACTGGGCAGACCGGCTCCTCCACCGTTGTACCAAGTAAGATTTTGTTTGTTTGTTGTTTAATGACGCACTCAGCAATATTCCAGCTATATGACGGCGGTCTGTAAATAATTGAGTCAGACAATCCAGTCATTGACATCATGATCATCAATCCACGTAATTGGGATACAATGACATGTATCAACCAAGTCAGTGAGCCTGACCACTCAATCCCATTAGTTGCGTCTTATGACAAGCACTACAGCAGCTTGTTGAGTTACCTTCAAGAAGTGGAAGGGGGATGGAAAGCCGTAGCTGAATTTGAGCCGTTGTGATGACCCAAGTCCACACATGGGCACAATACAGTGGCGATCACCTGCCTTGTGAAGGGCACATGTTTGTGTTTGTGCTGTGTTACATGGCAGTATCAAATACAAAATATGATGGCAGTGGTGACTGAGAAAAGTTCCATGATAATAGTATTCACCTATCCCAGCAGTGGTCAAGCTTCCGTGATATGCCTTGGCTGGGAATCCGCTGTGAAAGCTGGTCTTGAAGTGATTTGAAATGTGAGATGAGACAGGCACACGCCTAACTCGCTTCCAACACTTTTCACACAGTGCTAGACCAGTCCAGTGTCACCAGAACATCACAGAATATTCCACATGTTTCTATAATGCTTGACATCCGTCCATGCTATTCCAGGAAGTTAACATATAAGCTGAACCTCTAAATGTAATAACTTCCTCACCATTTATTAATTTAAATAGTACTACATTCCAGACAACTAGTCATTGTCCAAATACAATGCAAGAACTTCTACTGAATCTCAACAGAAACAATGTAATACAGTTGTTACAATCATTGATTACAATACATTACACATCCATATGACAACAGGCAGATCACTGTGTAAGACCTTTGTTATTATGACAGGTGACTGTGTAAGACCTTTGTTATTATGACAGATCACTGTGTAAGACCTTTTTAATTATGACAGATCACTGTGTAAGACCTTTGTTATTATGACAGGTGACTGTGTAAGACCTTTGTTATTATGACAGGTGACTGTGTAAGACCTTTGTTATTATGACAGATCACTGTGTAAGACCTTTGTTATTATGACAGGTCGCTGTGTAAGACCTTTGTTATTATGACAGATCACTGTGTAAGACCTTGGTTATTAATACAGGTCGCTGTGTAAGACCTTGGTTATTATGACAGGTCGCTGTGTAAGACCTTTGTTATTATGACAGGTTGCTGTGTAAGACCTTTGTTATTATGACAGATCACTGTGTAAGACCTTGGTTATTATGACAGATCACTGTGTAAGACCTTTGTTATTATGACAGATCACTGTGTAAGACCTTGGTTATTATGACAGATCACTGTGTAAGACCTTGGTTATTATGACAGGTCGCTGTCTAAGACCTTGGTTATTATGACAGGTCGCTGTGTAAGACCTTGGTTATTATGACAGATCACTGTGTAAGACCTTGGTTATTATGACAGATCACTGTGTAAGACCTTGGTTATTATGACAGATCGCTGTGTAAGACCTTTGTTATTATGACAGGTCGCTGTGTAAGACCTTTGTTATTATGACAGATCACTGTGTAAGACCTTGGTTATTATGACAGGTCGCTGTGTAAGACCTTTGTTATTATGACAGGTCGCTGTGTGAGACCTTGGTTATTATGACAGGTCACTGTGTAAGACCTTGGTTATTATGACAGGTCGCTGTGTAAGACCTTTGTTATTATGACAGGTCGCTGTGTAAGACCTTTGTTATTATGACAGGCCGCTGTGTAAGACCTTTGTTATTATGACAGATCACTGTGTAAGACCTTTGTTATTATGACAGGTCGCTGTGTAAGACCTTTGTTATTATGACAGGTCGCTGTGTAAGACCTTTGTTATTATGACAGGTCGCTGTGTAAGACCTTGGTTATTATGACAGGTCGCTGTCTGAGAGTGGTCCAGTCTTCCTGGAGGTGCTGGTGGGGATGATTGGGGACGAGTACTCGGCTGTGGCTGATAGAAGCAGGAGGGTCTTGGAAACCTACAAGACTCGACAGACCAGCACTGAAAATGCCCAACCATTGACTGCAGTCCTTGAGGAGAACCTTCACATCCTCGTCCTGTCACTGCCCCGACAGATCCGTGTAGCAGGTAGAGATGTGTACTTCAAGGCAATATTTAGAACAGACACTTTCAAATTCAGTATCACAGATGTAATTATAATCTTTTTAATCTGCACTTCTCACATTCTGTTTATTTTCACAGATGAAGACCAAAAATTGTGTGCAATCAATTTACTGGCAGGGTACCTTGATCTACTGGGTAAGTTGAAAGTGATGGACACAGAACGAGTGTAGCACAAGACCAACAGACCATTTCTAGACCCTAATGCCACTAGACCATTGTACTACCAGACCATTTTGACATCCGATTATTGTAGTGCTTGACCATGGTGATATCAGACCATTGTAGCACCAGGCCAAAGTGATAACAGACCATCATGTGACACCGCCCTGAAGGGGAGAGCCTCTGTTATTCACAGTCTGCCATGATGTATCGAAGGAAATTACAGACGGCAACTTTAAACAACAAACATTTACACACCCACTGAAACTAGACTTGTGACACTTTGGACGGTAGACAGCTGAAGGTCATAGACACCTGAAGGTCAACTGAAACTAGACTGATGACACTTTAGACAGTAGACAGCAGACAGCTGAAGGTCATAGACACCTGAAGCTCAACTGAGACTAGGCTTGTGACACTTTAGACAGTAGACAGCTGAAGGTCAGCTGAAGGTCAACTGAAGGTTCGCTTGTCTTTGCAGGTCCCAGCATCCGGGGTGTCCTCCGCTCACAGCCTCATCTGCATCACCTGGCCCTGGCTCTGCTCCAGACGATGGAGCTCGACTGTAGCAGCGTCAGCATCGTCGAACAACGCACCTCCATGCCAGGATACGGTAGGTAACAGCCATGCTGGGATACAGTAGGTGACAACCATGTTGGGATACAGTAGGTGACAGCCATGTTGGGATACAGTAGGTGGCAGCCATGTTGGGATACAGTAGGTGACAGCCATGTTGGGATACAGTAGGTGACAACCATGTTGGGATGTGGTAGGTGACAGCCATGTTGGGATACAGTAGGTGAAAGACATGTTGGGATACAGTAGGTGACAGCCATGTTGGGATGTGGTAGGTGACAGCCATGTTGGGATACAGTAGGTGACAGCCATGTTGGGATGTGGTAGGTGACAGCCATGTTGGGATACAGTAGGTGAAAGCCATGTTGGGATACAGTAGGTGACAACCATGTTGGGATACAGTAGGTGACAGCCATGTTGGGATACAGTAGGTGACAACCATGTTGGGATGTGGTAGGTGACAGCCATGTTGGGATACAGTAGGTGAAAGCCATGTTGGGATACAGTAGGTGACAGCCATGTTGGGATGTGGTAGGTGGCAGCCATGCTGGGATACAGTAGGTGACAGCCATGTTGGGATACAGTAGGTGGTAGCCATGCTGGGATACAGTAGGTGACAGCCATGTTGGGATACAGTAGGTGGCAGCCATGTTGGGATACAGTAGGTGACAGCCATGTTGGGATACAGTAGGTGACAACCATGTTGGGATGTGGTAGGTGACAGCCATGTTGGGATACAGTAGGTGAAAGACATGTTGGGATACAGTAGGTGACAACCATGTTGGGATGTGGTAGGTGACAGCCATGTTGGGATACAGTAGGTGAAAGACATGTTGGGATACAGTAGGTGACAGCCATGTTGGGATGTGGTAGGTGACAGCCATGTTGGGATACAGTAGGTGACAGCCATGTTGGGATGTGGTAGGTGACAGCCATGTTGGGATACAGTAGGTGACAGCCATGTTGGGATGTGGTAGGTGACAGCCATGTTGGGATACAGTAGGTGAAAGCCATGTTGGGATACAGTAGGTGACAACCATGTTGGGATACAGTAGGTGACAGCCATGTTGGGATACAGTAGGTGACAGCCATGTTGGGATACAGTAGATGACAGCCATGCTGGGATACAGTAGGTGACAACCATGTTGGGATGTGGTAGGTGACAACCATGTTGGGATACAGTAGGTGACAACCATGTTGGGATGTGGTAGGTGACAGCCATGTTGGGATACAGTAGGTGACAACCATGTTGGGATACAGTAGGTGACAACCATGTTGGGATACAGTAGGTGACAACCATGTTGGGATGTGGTAGGTGACAGCCATGTTGGGATACAGTAGGTGAAAGCCATGTTGGGATACAGTAGGTGACAGCCATGTTGGGATGTGGTAGGTGGCAGCCATGCTGGGATACAGTAGGTGACAGCCATGTTGGGATACAGTAGGTGGTAGCCATGCTGGGATACAGTAGATGACAGCCATGCTGGGATACAGTAGGTTACAGCCATGCTGGGATACAGTAGGTGGTAGCCATGCTGGGATACAGTAGGTGACAGCCATGTTGGGATGTGGTAGGTGACAGCCATGTTGGGATACAGTAGGTGACAGCCATGTTGGGATACAGTAGGTGGTAGCCATGCTGGGATACAGTATGTGACAGCCATGCTGGGATACAGTAGATGACAGCCATGCTGGGATACAGTAGATGACAGCCATGTTGGGATACAGTAGGTGACAGCCATGTTGGGATGTGGTAGGTGACAGCCATGCTGGGATACAGTAGGTGACAGCCATGTTGGGATACAGTAGGTGGCAGCCATGTTGGGATACAGTAGGTGGCAGCCATGCTGGGATACAGTAGGTGACAGCAATGCTGGGATACAGTAGGTGGCAGCCATGTTGGAATACAGTATGTGACAGCCATGTTGGGATGTGGTAGGTGACAATCATGCTGGGATACAGTAGGTGACAGCCATGCTGGGATACAGTAAGTGGCAGGCATGTTGGGATACAGTAGGTGACAGCCATGTTGGGATGTGGTAGGTAACAGCCATGTTGGGATGTGGTAGGTGGCAGCCATGTTGGGATATGGTAGGTGACAGCCATGTTGGGATGTGGTAGGTGACAGCCATGCTGGGATGTGGTAGGTGGCAGCCATGTTGGGATACAGTAGGTGACAGCCATGCTGGGATACAGTAGGTAACAGCCATGTTGGGATACAGTAGGTGGTAGCCATGTTGGGATGTGGTAGGTGACAGCCATGCTGGGATGTGGTAGGTGGCAGCCATGTTGGGATACAGTAGGTGACAGCCATGCTGGGATACAGTAGGTAACAGCCATGTTGGGATACAGTAGGTGGTAGCCATGTTGGGATACAGTAGGTGACAGCCATGCTGGGATACAGTAGGTGACAACCATGTTGGGATGTGGTAGGTGACAGCCATGTTGGGATACAGTAGGTGAAAGACATGTTGGGATACAGTAGGTGACAGCCATGTTGGGATGTGGTAGGTGACAGCCATGTTGGGATACAGTAGGTGACAGCCATGTTGGGATGTGGTAGGTGACAGCCATGTTGGGATACAGTAGGTGAAAGCCATGTTGGGATACAGTAGGTGACAACCATGTTGGGATACAGTAGGTGACAGCCATGTTGGGATACAGTAGGTGACAACCATGTTGGGATACAGTAGGTGACAGCCATGTTGGGATACAGTAGGTGAAAGCCATGTTGGGATACAGTAGGTGACAGCCATGTTGGGATGTGGTAGGTGGCAGCCATGCTGGGATACAGTAGGTGACAGCCATGTTGGGATACAGTAGGTGGTAGCCATGCTGGGATACAGTAGGTGACAGCCATGTTGGGATACAGTAGGTGGCAGCCATGTTGGGATACAGTAGGTGACAGCCATGTTGGGATACAGTAGGTGACAACCATGTTGGGATGTGGTAGGTGACAGCCATGTTGGGATACAGTAGGTGAAAGACATGTTGGGATACAGTAGGTGACAACCATGTTGGGATGTGGTAGGTGACAGCCATGTTGGGATACAGTAGGTGAAAGACATGTTGGGATACAGTAGGTGACAGCCATGTTGGGATGTGGTAGGTGACAGCCATGTTGGGATACAGTAGGTGACAGCCATGTTGGGATGTGGTAGGTGACAGCCATGTTGGGATACAGTAGGTGACAGCCATGTTGGGATGTGGTAGGTGACAGCCATGTTGGGATACAGTAGGTGAAAGCCATGTTGGGATACAGTAGGTGACAACCATGTTGGGATACAGTAGGTGACAGCCATGTTGGGATACAGTAGGTGACAGCCATGTTGGGATACAGTAGATGACAGCCATGCTGGGATACAGTAGGTGACAACCATGTTGGGATGTGGTAGGTGACAACCATGTTGGGATACAGTAGGTGACAACCATGTTGGGATGTGGTAGGTGACAGCCATGTTGGGATACAGTAGGTGACAACCATGTTGGGATACAGTAGGTGACAACCATGTTGGGATACAGTAGGTGACAACCATGTTGGGATGTGGTAGGTGACAGCCATGTTGGGATACAGTAGGTGAAAGCCATGTTGGGATACAGTAGGTGACAGCCATGTTGGGATGTGGTAGGTGGCAGCCATGCTGGGATACAGTAGGTGACAGCCATGTTGGGATACAGTAGGTGGTAGCCATGCTGGGATACAGTAGATGACAGCCATGCTGGGATACAGTAGGTTACAGCCATGCTGGGATACAGTAGGTGGTAGCCATGCTGGGATACAGTAGGTGACAGCCATGTTGGGATGTGGTAGGTGACAGCCATGTTGGGATACAGTAGGTGACAGCCATGTTGGGATACAGTAGGTGGTAGCCATGCTGGGATACAGTATGTGACAGCCATGCTGGGATACAGTAGATGACAGCCATGCTGGGATACAGTAGATGACAGCCATGTTGGGATACAGTAGGTGACAGCCATGTTGGGATGTGGTAGGTGACAGCCATGCTGGGATACAGTAGGTGACAGCCATGTTGGGATACAGTAGGTGGCAGCCATGTTGGGATACAGTAGGTGGCAGCCATGCTGGGATACAGTAGGTGACAGCCATGCTGGGATACAGTAGGTGGCAGCCATGTTGGAATACAGTATGTGACAGCCATGTTGGGATGTGGTAGGTGACAGCCATGCTGGGATACAGTAAGTGGCAGGCATGTTGGGATACAGTAGGTGACAGCCATGTTGGGATGTGGTAGGTAACAGCCATGTTGGGATGTGGTAGGTGGCAGCCATGTTGGGATATGGTAGGTGACAGCCATGTTGGGATGTGGTAGGTGACAGCCATGCTGGGATGTGGTAGGTGGCAGCCATGTTGGGATACAGTAGGTGACAGCCATGCTGGGATACAGTAGGTAACAGCCATGTTGGGATACAGTAGGTGGTAGCCATGTTGGGATGTGGTAGGTGACAGCCATGCTGGGATGTGGTAGGTGGCAGCCATGTTGGGATACAGTAGGTGACAGCCATGCTGGGATACAGTAGGTAACAGCCATGTTGGGATACAGTAGGTGGTAGCCATGTTGGGATACAGTAGGTGACAGCCATGCTGGGATACAGTAGGTGACAGCCATGTTGGGATACAGTAGGTGGAAGCCATGTTGGAATACAGTATGTGACAGCCATGTTGGGATGTGGTAGGTGACAGCCATGTTGGGATACAGTAGGTGGTAGCCATGCTGGGATACAGTAGATGACAGCCATGCTGGGATACAGTAGGTGACAGCCATGTTGGGATACAGTAGGAGACAGCCATGTTGGGATACAGTAGGAGACAGCCATGCTGGGTTACAGTAGGAGACAGCCATGTTGGGATATGGTAGGTGACAGCCATTTTGGGATACAGTAGATGACAGCCATTTTGGGATACAGTAGGTGGCAGCCATGTTTGGATACAGTAGGTGACAGCCATTTTGGGATACAGTAGATGACAGCCATTTTGGGATACAGTAGGTGAAAGCCATGTTGGGATATGGTAGGTGACATCCATGCCATGATGAGGTAGGTAACAGCCATTTTGGGATACAGTAGGTGGCAGCCATGTTGGGATACAGTAGGTGACAACCATGTTGGGATACAGTAGGTGGCAACCATGCTGGGATACAGTAGGTGACAGCCATTTTGGGATACAGTAGGAGACAGCCATGTTGGGATACAGTAGATGACAACCATGTTGGGATACAGTAGGTGACAGCCATGCTGGGTTTCAGTAGGTGACAGCCATGTTGGGATATGGTAGGTGACAGCCATGTTGGGATACAGTAGGTGACAGCCATTTTGGGATACAGTAGGTGGCAGCCATGTTGGGATGTGGTAGGTGACAGCCATGTTGGGATACAGTAGGTGACAGCCATGTTGGGATACAGTAGGTGACAGCCATGCCACGATGAGGTAGGTGGCAGCCATGTTGGGATACAGTAGGTGACAGCCATGTTCGGATACAGTAGGTTACAGCCATGCCATGATGAGGTAGGTTACAGCCACCAGTGGTGATTACGAGTTATGTCCCTACCATGTCATGCTGGGATACAGTAGGTGACAGCCATGTTGGGATACAGTAGGTGACAGCCATGTTGGGATACAGTAGGTGACAGCCATGCCACGATGAGGTAGGTAACAGCCACCAGTGGTGATTACGAGTTATGTCCCTACCATGTCATGCTCAACAGCCATGCCGGGATAGGCGCAGAAGCTGCCCAGTTGCCATGGCAGCACAGTTTCTCTGTACAGAGTTGTGTCCCTTGGTAGTGCCAGATTCTTATGATCCTAGGTAGAAATCACAAATTCATCCTAATTAAACTGGCCAATAACACCCGCCATTCCTTATGGCAGGGATGAGGCAAGGTGAAGCGAGGAGAGGTTTTATGTTGTGATGTGCATGCACACACATGTGTGCGTGTGTGTTCTTGGCTCGTCCAGACTAACACCTGTTTTTGGGCCCCACTTACAGCCTCACTGAGAAACAACAAGTACCATCTTTTAACATCTTGTGGTTTCATGGGGCCACTACATTCTAGGGGTGGTTGCAGGGATGTGTAAAGGGGGGTCTTGTATTTGGTGGTATTTTAGCAGACACAGATATGACATTTTATTGAATATGGAGTGTTTGATGACCTGTAAACAGAGTTATCTCCCCTCCCTGCAGGCTCCGGAGTGATGGACTCAGACCACCCAGCAGGGAGACCAAGAAATGTCTTCAAACACTTCCAGGATCACAGGATTGCCGATTCCCTGATGAAAACGTGTCGTCTGCTTGGTTATCATGGTAGGTGGAATGGGCGATCATAGTTGGTGTACTGGGTTGTCATGGTTACTGGGTGATCGTGGCAGGTGTATTGGGTGATTGTGGCGGGTGTACTGGTCGCAATGGTTTCTGGGTGATTGTGGTTGGTGTGTACTGGGTGATCGTGGTTATTTGGTGATCATTGGTGTACTGGGTTGTCATGGTGGCTAGGTGATAGTGGTTGGTGTACTTGGTTGTAATAGTTACTGGATAAATATGGTCGTGTACTGGGTTTTCATGGTTGCTGGGTGATAGTGGTTGGTGTACTTGGTTGTAATGGTTACTGGGTAAATATGGTCGTGTACTGGGTTGTCATGGTTACTGGGTGATCTTTGAAGGTGTACAGGTTGATCATGGCTACTTGGTCATCATTAGGGTACTTGGTTGTCATGGTTACTGGATGATCAAGGCAGGTGTACTGGGTAATTGTGGCAGGTGTACTGGTTGTCATGGATACTGGGAGATCCTGGCAGGTGTACTGGGTGATCATGGCTGGTGTACTGGGTGATCGTTGCTGGTGTACTGGATGATCGTGGCAGGTGTACTGGATGATCGTGACAGGTGTACTGGATGATCGTGACAGGTGTACTAGGTGATCATGGCAGGTGTACTGGGTGACCTTGGCTGGTGTACTGGGTGATCGTTGCAGGTGTACTGGGTGATCGTGGCTGGTTTATTGGATGATCATGGCAGGTGTACTGGGTGATCGTGGCTGGTGTACTGGGTGATCGTTGCAGGTGTACTGGGTGATCGTGGCTGGTTTATTGGATGATCATGGCAGGTGTACTGGGTGATCGTGGCTGGTGTATTGGATGATCATGGCAGGTGTACTGGGTGATCGTGGCTGGTGTACTGGATGATCGTGGCAGGTGTACTGGGTGATCGTGGCTGGTGTATTGGATGATCATGGCAGGTGTACTGGGTGATCGTGGCTGGTGTACTGGGTGATCGTTGCAGGTGGACTGGGTGATCAAGGCTGGAGTACTGGTTGATCGTGGCAGGTGTACTGGGTGATTGTGGTCACTGGGTGATTGTGGCAGGTGTACTGGATGATCGTGGCTGGTGTACTGGGTGATCGTAGCTGGTGTACTTGGTGATCGTATTTGTCTGTATTTAATGTTCTTCCATTTCCCAGGAGATCTGAGCATCCTTGTTGACCACTTCTTGGACATCGTGAATGAATCTGCGAGGTATCGGATGTCAGCAACCCTCATCTTGAATGAAATTGTCTTTGGACACACCCCCAGATCAGGTATGAGACAACCCTCCAGCAGGTGTGATGTTCTTTGTGTCAAGGCAGAGATGCCCTGGGACCTGATGTTTGTCAGGCCAAAGTTCCTGTGACACCAATATTTTAGTGTATTTTTCAAACAAGTAAAGTTTGGTTTTCAATATTGTAGTACATGTATGGAATCAAGTCACAAAAACGCAACTGCTACAGAAAAGCATGCATTCCATGGAAATTCCATGGAAAAGTTGACTTTTTTGCAAGCCCAATGCATTTCACTACCCAAAAATGGGTATAAAAACATGTGCGTTAGCGGGATTCCATATGCATTGTTTAGCATCATGCTGGCAACAACCACTCAGAAAAACAACAAAATTTCACAATTATTCAACATTACGAAATGCCAGGCCTGTCCGAAAATGAGCGTCTGCGAGCCATTGGTATGCTTGAAGCAGGATCGAGTCAATGTGATGTTGCAAGACAATTTAACGTGCACAGAAACACCATTTGGTGTTTATGGCAACGTTGGCAACAGACGAATGCATTCAGAGACCATCCTCGGAGTGGCAGCCTTTGCGTAACCAATAATCGACAAGACAACTGGATTCGAACAACACAAAATCGATTCCAGCCAGCAACAGTAACTGCAAGAAGCATCCCTGGATTTCGACGAATATCTTCACAAACCATACGTCATCGCCTCAGATGTGCAGGGATTGTCGCCAGAAGACCCGCCAGACGTCGCATTTTGACAGGAAACCACCGTCAAGCATATCTACAGTGGTGCAGACAGCGTCTACCCTTGACGGACATGCAGTGGGGACAAGTGCAGCCCAGCCTCATATTGCTCGACTTGTTCAGGACTCTCTTCAACAAAACACATGTTCCACAGACACTCCAGGAACTTCGAAACATGCTCCAGCAGATATGGACAGATATCCCACAAGACTTTGTGCGACGCCTGGTCCATTCCGTGAGACGAAGATGTGTTGCTTGCATCGCAACCAGAGGTGGACACACACGCTATTGATTTGTAAATTGACATTTTGGCATGTTCATGTTTTTTATGAAATCACACATTTTGTGGATGTGGTCAGTCTGCTTGTATTGCTGCTGTTGATTGTTGCAGAACACCAGGGGGGTGGTCTGTATGCTCTCTGTGTTTAGTCTGTGGATGTGGTCAGTCTGCTTGTATTGCTGCTGTTGATTGTTGCAGAACACCAGGGGGGTGGTCTGTATGCTCTCTGTGTTCAGTCTGTGGATGTGGTCAGTCTGCTTGTATTGCTGCTGTTGATTGTTGCAGAACACCAGGGGGGTGGTCTGTATGCTCTCTGTGTTTAGTCTGTGGATGTGGTCAGTCTGCTTGTATTGCTGCTGTTGATTGTTGCAGAACACCAGGGGGTAGGTCTGTATGCTCTCTGTGTTCAGTCTGTGGATGTGGTCAGTCTGCTTGTATTGCTGCTGTTGATTGTTGCAGAACACCAGGGGGGTGGTCTGTATGCTCTCTGTGTTCAGTCAGTGGATGTGGTCAGTCTGCTTGTATTGCTGCTGTTGATTGTTGCAGAACACCAGGGGGGTGCTCTGTATGCTCTCTGTGTTCAGTCTGTGGATGTGGTCAGTCTGCTTGTATTGCTGCTGTTGATTGTTGCAGAACACCAGGGGGGTGGTCTGTATGCACTCTGTGTTCAGTCTGTGGATGTGGTCAGTCTGCTTGTATTGCTGCTGTTGATTGTTGCAGAACACCAGGGGGGTGGTCTGTATGCTCTCTGTGTTCAGTCTGTGGATGTGGTCAGTCTGCTTGTATTGCTGCTGTTGATTGTTGCAGAACACCAGGGGGGTGGTCTGTATGCTCTCTGTGTTTAGACTGTGAATGTGGTCAGTCTGCTTGTATTGCTGCTGTTGATTGTTGCAGAACACCAGGGGGGTGGTCTGTATGCTCTCTGTGTTTAGTCTGTGGATGTGGTCAGTCTGCTTGTATTGCTGCTGTTGATTGTTGCAGAACACCAGGGGGGTGGTCAGTCTGCTTGTATTGCTGCTGTTGATTGTTGCAGAACACCAGGGGGGTGGTCAGTCTGCTTGTATTGCTGCTGTTGATTGTTGCAGAACACCAGGGGGGTGGTCAGTCTGCTTGTATTGCTGCTGTTGATTGTTGCAGAACACAAGAGGGGTGGACTTGTTGAGGCAGCTGGATTGGAACAGGGAGAACTGGACAGCACAGTCAGGTAACAACACTGTAACAACTTAACACTGTAACAGCATAACAACACTGTAACAGCAATACAACACTGTAACAGCATAACAACACTGTAACAGCAATACAACACTGTAACAGCAAAACAACACTAACAGCATAACAACACTGTAACAGCAATGCAACACTGTAACAGCAAAACAACACTGTAACAGCAATGCAACACTGTAACAGCAAAACAACACTGTAACAGCAAAACAACACTGTAACAACTTAACACTGTAACAGCATACCAATACTGCAGGGATGTGAAATCTCAATGGAAACACGGAAAATCACGTTTTTCACAGTAGTCCTCGGAAAAATTCATCTTCCTCGTAAAGAGATTATAACAAAGACACTCAGGAAAACACTGCATGTTGTTACTGGTGGTATAAGGGGCAACATGGCCCACGGTGCTGACATCGTCATGCTGCAGATTGGGGGTTCTACATCCCAGATTCACGCCAATTAGGATGCTTGTCATGTCTCCATCACACCTCCCACATTACATTGACACATCCTAACATCCTAACATTCTTTTCAATGTTAAATACCCAAGAAGATCCAGGGTAGAATAGGTCTTCAGCAACCCATGCTTGCCATAAAAGGCAACTATGCTTGTCATAAGAGACAACTAGCAGGATCGGGTGGTCAGGCTTGCTGACTTGGTTGAGGCATGTCATTGTATCCCAAGTGCAGGGATCGATGCTCATGATGTCAATCATTGGATTGTTCTGGTCCAGACCCGATTATTTACAGACCACCATCTTATAGCTGGAATACTGCTGAGTGCGGCTTAAACAACAAACAAACAAACAAATCCATGTTAAACCAACTCAAGGGTAGCGGAACTGGTGTGAGTTTGACAGGCAAGTTATGATGAGTTTCACAAGACTGTGTACAAAGCCACGTGTGTGTTCTCCATCCTCTCCCTACCAGGATGCTGGTGGAGGAGTACCTGTCCCCAGCCAACTTCAACCTCCAGACAGTGACGGAACCTGATCCGTCCCCGCTCAGCATCCTGCACCCCCCACCAGCCGCCTCCCCCACCACCGCCTCCCCCACCACAGTGGTCAGCCTCAACCAGAACATCTGCCAGGTCTGTCTGTACATGGAAGGCGTGGCCCGCTTCGCCTCCGTCCTGGCCCCACGCTTTCGACCCCTCCTGATGCTGGTGCTATACCCGCTGCTGGACAAGCTCGGGGACGACAACTCCTTGATCAGCAGCACCGCCTACAGCGTCCTTGTGGCTTTGTGTCAGGCTTGTGAATACAGGTAATTTTATATTCTTGTAGATCTATGTCAAGGTGTAGATCTATGTCAAGGTGCAGATCTGTGTCAAGGTGTAGATCTGTGTCAAGGTGTAGATCTATGTCAAGGTGTAGATCTATGTCAAGTTGTAGATCTGTGTCAACTTGTAGATATGTGTCAAGGTGTACATCTATGTCAAGGTGTAGATGTATGTCAAGGTGTAGATCTGTGTCAAGGTGTAGATCTGTGTCAAGGTGTAGATCTGTGTCAAGGTGTAGATCTATGTCAAGGTGTAGATCTGTGTCAAGTTGTAGATCTATGTCAAGGTGTAGATCTATGTCAAGGTGTAGATCTGTGTCAAGGTGTAGATCTGTGTCAAGGTGTAGATCTATGTCAAGGTGTAGATCTGTGTCAAGGTGTAGATCTATGTATGATTGTAGATCTATGTCAAGGTGTAGATCTATGTCAAGTTGTAGATCTATGTCAAGGTGTAGATCTGTGTCAAGTTGCAGGTCTGTGTCAAGGTGTAGATCTATGTCAAGGTGTAGATCTATGTCAAGGTGTAGATCTGTGTCAAGGTGTAGATCTATGTCAAGGTGTAGATCTATGTCAAGGTGTAGATCTATGTCAAGTTGTAGATCTATGTCAAGGTGTAGATCTATGTCAATGTGTAGGTCTGTGTCAAGGTGTAGATCTATGTCAGGTTGTAGATCTATGTCAAGGTGTAGATCTATGTCAAGGTGTAGATCTATGTCAAGGTGTAGATCTGTGTCAAGATGTAGATCTGTGTCAAGGTGTAGATCTATGTCAAGGTGTCGATCCAGTAGAGGATATTTTATGCCACTCGTGAAACTATCTCTTTCCCCAGACATTCAATGAGAAAAACATAATATTTCACTCGACACATAGAATATCCTATTTATGATGAGAAATTCACAGTTTATAACAAAACAGTTTCAAGAGAATTACAAATGGCAAGTAGTGATATTAACTCCATAAATGACGACCTGTCAGTATTCTGCCTTGTAAATGTGGAAATAACGTCAAATGACGTCAACAGTTTGTGTACGTGCAAGACACTTACGATTTAAGGAGACGATTTGAGGGGAGGTAACTCTTGTATGACAATAGTTCCGTCAAAGTTTTATGTTCACTGCAATGAAAATGTCACTTTTCTCAAATTTGGAAAAATCAGTCTTCTCACTCTAAGTATGTCAAACATTTGGATATTCTGAGTGTATCTAAAGGGCTGTACTGTGTCCTAGTCGAGTCTGGAGGTACATGTCCTAGTTGGTTTTCTGTAATCTGCAGGTCCCTAGATGAAATGATTCGCCACAATGCAGATTATTTGATGAACGCAATCTCTCTGCGTCTGCGCCACCTGGAGGCCAACTTGCGCTGTCCGACGGTGCTCCGTGTCATGTTGCAGTACAGTGAGGCTGACATCCTGCCTCTGGTGGACGACACGGTGCAAGAGGTTGGTGTCCATCTCTTGTCCATCTGCACAGATAGAATTTGAATGAAAGTCTTCAGCAGTATGTTTGTTTGTTTGTTTGTGTATATCCCATGGCTTGTAAATAATAATGCCTGACCAGACAATCCATGAGATATTATGAGCACTGCCCAACCCTGTTGCCAGGCAATCAACCATCACTGCGTGGCCACCTGATCCACGATCCCACTGCTGCGGACCTCTCTTTACCCTGGTCTGCATAGGGTCATTCAGTTCTGGTTACTTGAGCCAACAGAAGAGTTGTCTGAACAATGACAGGAATAGGTTCTGACACTGTTATCACGCAAGGGATTATAACAGTGTTAGAACTTGATAACAGTGTTAGAAGCTACTTGATAACGGTGTGGACCTAATTGGGATAAAGAAGTTGTTCATCCATCTATCTTATCCTTGCTTAATGACAGGGGCTGTCAGGTAGCCTAGTGGTTAAAGTGTCGCTCGCCGCGCCAAAGACACAGGTCCGATTCCCCACATGGGTACAATGTGCAAAGCACATTTCTGGTTTCCCCGCCTTGATATTGCTGGAATATAGCTAAAAGTGGCGTAAAACTATACTCACTCTCTCACTCGCTTAATGAAATTACAGACTGGCTAAGTTGTCCACAAGTCAGGATTTTCTTGTTCGGATGCTCTATAGTTGATATACATCTTGATTTACAGCTCGTTTTGTCCTTTCTGCAGACACTCTGATGTTCGTTGTCTTGTTTGCAGATTCTGAGTTGCCTTGACGACCATTACATTGAGGAAGCAGCCATTTTTGTGAAGGTGCTTCATGAACTCGTGAAGGCCATCAACAGATGGTTTCCATGGAAACAGGTAATTGTCCACCTAGGTATATTATTATAAATTTCTTCTATGAAATATGCAGTGCCGTTCTTAGTACTGTAACTGTTGTAAGTCTTTGTTGGAGAGAGTGATTGTTGGAGAGAGTGATCTTAACACTGCATCTGTCGTAAGTCTTTGTTGGAGAGAGTGATTGTTGGAGAGAGTGATCTTTACACTGCGTCTGTCGTAAGTCTTTGTTGGACAGAGTGATCTTAACACTGCGTCTGTTGTAAGTCTTTGTTGGACAGAGTGATCTTAACACTGCGTCTGTTGTAAGTCTTTGTTGGAAAGAGTGATTGTTGGAGAGAGTGATTGTTGGAGAGAGTGATCTTAACACTGCATCTGTCGTAAGTCTTTGTTGGACAGAGGGATTGTTGTGGAGAGTGATCTTTACACTGCGTCTGTCGTAAGTCTTTGTTGAAGAGAGTGATTGTTGGACAGAGTGATCTTAACACTGCATCTGTCGTAAGTCTTTGTTGGACAGAGTGATTGTTGGAGAGAGTGATCTTAACACTGCGTCTGTCGTAAGTCTTTGTTGGACAGAGTGATTGTTGGACAGAAAGATCTTTACACTGCATCTGTCGTAAGTCTTTGTTGGAAAGAGTGATTGTTGGAGAGAGTGATCTTTACACTGCGTCTGTCGTAAGTCTTTGTTGGAAAGAGTGATTGTTGGAGAGAGTGATCTTTACACTGCATCTGTCGTAAGTCTTTGTTGGACAGAGTGATTGTTGGACAGAGTGATCTTTACACTGTGTCTGTCGTAAGTCTTTGTTGGAAAGAGTGATTGTTGTAGAGAGTGATTGTTGGACAGAGTGATCTTTACACTGTGTCTGTCGTAAGTCTTTGTTGGACAGAGTGATTGTTGGAGAGAGTGATCTTTACACTGCGTCTGTCGTAAGTCTTTGTTGGAAAGAGTGATTGTTGGAGAGAGTGATTGTTGGAGAGAGTGATCTTTACACTGCGTCTGTCGTAAGTCTTTGTTGGAAAGAGTGATTGTTGGAGAGAGTGATCTTTACACTGCATCTGTCGTAAGTCTTTGTTGGAAAGAGTGATTGTTGGACAGAGTGATTGTTGGAGAGAGTGATCTTTACACTGCGTCTGTCGTAAGTCTTTGTTGGAAAGAGTGATTGTTGGAGAGAGTGATCTTTACACTGCGTCTGTCGTAAGTCTTTGTTGGACAGAGTGATCTTAACACTGCGTCTGTTGTAAGTCTTTGTTGGACAGAGTGATCTTAACACTGCGTCTGTTGTAAGTCTTTGTTGGAAAGAGTGATTGTTGGAGAGAGTGATCTTTACACTGCGTCTGTCGTAAGTCTTTGTTGGAAAGAGTGATTGTTGGAGAGAGTGATCTTTACACTGCATCTGTCGTAAGTCTTTGTTGGACAGAGTGATTGTTGGACAGAGTGATCTTTACACTGTGTCTGTCGTAAGTCTTTGTTGGACAGAGTGATTGTTGGAGAGAGTGATCTTTACACTGCGTCTGTCGTAAGTCTTTGTTGGAAAGAGTGATTGTTGGAGAGAGTGATTGTTGGAGAGAGTGATCTTAACACTGCGTCTTTCGTAAGTCTTTGTTGGACAGAGTGATCTTTACACTGCATCTGTCGTAAGTCTTTGTTGGAAAGAGTGATTGTTGTAGAGAGTGATTGTTGGAGAGAGTGATATTAACACTGCGTCTGTCGTAAGTCTTTGTTGGACAGAGTGATTGTTGGAGAGAGTGATCTTAACACTGCGTCTGTTGTAAGTCTTTGTTGGACAGAGTGATCTTTACACTGCGTCTGTCGTAAGTCTTTGTTGGAAAGAGTGATTGTTGGAGAGAGTGATTGTTGGAGAGAGTGATCTTAACACTGCATCTGTCGTAAGTCTTTGTTGGACAGAGGGATTGTTGTGGAGAGTGATCTTTACACTGCATCTGTCGTAAGTCTTTGTTGAAGAGAGTGATTGTTGGACAGAGTGATCTTAACACTGCATCTGTCGTAAGTCTTTGTTGGACAGAGTGATTGTTGGAGAGAGTGATCTTAACACTGCGTCTGTCGTAAGTCTTTGTTGGACAGAGTGATTGTTGGACAGAAAGATCTTTACACTGCGTCTGTCGTAAGTCTTTGTTGGACAGAGTGATTGTTGGACAGAGTGATCTTTACACTGCGTCTGTCGTAAGTCTTTGTTGGACAGAGTGATTGTTGGACAGAGTGATCTTTACACTGCGTCTGTCGTAAGTCTTTGTTGGAAAGAGTGATTGTTGGAGAGAGTGATTGTTGGAGAGAGTGATCTTAACACTGCGTCTTTCGTAAGTCTTTGTTGGACAGAGTGATCTTTACACTGCGTCTGTCGTAAGTCTTTGTTGGAAAGAGTGATTGTTAGAGAGTGATTGTTGGAGAGAGTGATCTTAACACTGCGTCTGTCGTAAGTCTTTGTTGGACAGAGTGATTGTTGGACAGAGTGATCTTAACACTGCGTCTGTCGTAAGTCTTTGTTGGACAGAGTGATTGTTGGACAGAATGATCTTTACACTGCGTCTGTCGTAAGTCTTTGTTGGACAGAGTGATTGTTGGACAGAGTGATCTTTACACTGCGTCTGTTGTAAGTCTTTGTTGGACAGAGTGATTGTTGGACAGAGTGATTGTTGGACAGAGTGATCTTTGCACTGCGTCTGTCGTAAGTCTTTGTTGGAAAGAGTGATTGTTGGAAAGAGTGATTGTTGGAGAGAGTGATCTTAACACTGCGTCTTTCGTAAGTCTTTGTTGGACAGAGTGATCTTTACACTGCGTCTGTCGTAAGTCTTTGTTGGAAAGAGTGATTGTTGGAGAGAGTGATTGTTGGAGAGAGTGATCTTAACACTGCGTCTGTCGTAAGTCTTTGTTGAACAGAGTGATTGTTGGAGAGAGTGATCTTAACACTGCGTCTGTCGTAAGTCTTTGTTGGACAGAGTGATTGTTGGACAGAGTGATTGTTGGAGAGAGTGATCTTAACACTGCATCTGTCATAAGTCTTTGTTGGAAAGAGTGATTGTTGGAGAGAGTGATTGTTGGAGAGAGTGATCTTAACACTGCGTCTTTCGTAAGTCTTTGTTGGACAGAGTGATCTTTACACTGCGTCTGTCGTAAGTCTTTGTTGGAAAGAGTGATCGTTGGACAGAGTGATTGTTGGAGAGAGTGATCTTAACACTGCATCTGTCATAAGTCTTTGTTGGAGAGAGTGATTGTTGGAGAGAGTGATCTTTACACTGCATCTGTCGTAAGTCTTTGTTGGACAGAGTGATTGTTGGACAGAGTGATCTTAACACTGCGTCTGTCGTAAGTCTTTGTTGGACAGAGTGATCTTTACACTGCGTCTGTTGTAAGTCTTTGTTGGAAAGAGTGATTGTTGGAGAGAGTGATTGTTGGAGAGAGTGATCTTAACACTGCGTCTGTCGTAAGTCTTTGTTGGAGAGAGTGATTGTTGGAGAGAGTGATCTTTACACTGCATCTGTCGTAAGTCTTTGTTGGACAGAGTGATTGTTGGACAGAGTGATTGTTGGAGAGAGTGATCTTAACACTGCATCTGTCATAAGTCTTTGTTGGAGAGAGTGATTGTTGGAGAGAGTGATCTTTACACTGCATCTGTCGTAAGTCTTTGTTGGACAGAGTGATTGTTGGACAGAGTGATCTTTACACTATGTGTGTCATAAGTCTTTAGCACTGCTGCTGGGAACATAGCAGCAACTGTAAAAACAAAAACAAACATAATGTATTAAATGATAAGTTGCATTTAGAGACAGCATCATTTCATTGTCATATTTCCAGAAAGCAGCCCAACACACAGTGCCGACGGACCCCGACCCAGATGACCAAGAAGTCAACCATCCACCACAACAGTCTACCAGCGACAGCATCCGAGACTTCTTCCTTGACTACCACAGACAGAGGGTGATTGCCGACTGTGACGTGAGGGAGGAGGAGTATGCTGATGTGGCTGCAGACAACGTTGATGATGTAGAGAAAGAGGAGGCAGACATTGATCTCCCCAAACATGTTTCAGCTGTGAAGGAGGTGAGTGGGCGTGTCAGCATCTGGGGATGTTTCTGCTGTGAAGGAGGTGAGTGGGCGTGTCAGCATCTGGGGATGTTTCTGCTGTGAAGGAGGAGAGTGGGCGTGTCAGCATCTGGAGATGTTTCAGCTGTGAAGGAGGTGAGTGGGCGTGTCAGCATCTGGGGATGTTTCTGCTGTGAAGGAGGAGAGTGGGCGTGTCAGCATCTGGAGATGTTTCAGCTGTGAAGGAGGTGAGTGGGCGTGTCAGCATCGGGGGATGTTCAGCTGTGAAGGAGGTGAGTGGGCGTTTCAGCATCTGGGGATGTTTCAGCTGTGGAGGAGGTGAGTGGACGTGTCAGCATCTGGGGATGTTTCAGCTGTGAAGGAGGTGAGTGGGCGTGTCAGCATCTGGGGATGTTTCAGCTGTGAAGGAGGTGAGTGGGCGTGTCAGCATCTGGGGCTGTTTCAGCTGTGAAGGAGGTGAGTGGGCGTGTCAGCATCTGGGGATGTTTCAGCTGTGAAGGAGGTGAGTGGGCGTGTCAGCATCGGGGGATGTTTCAGCTGTGAAGGAGGTGAGTGGGCGTGTCAGGATCTGGGGATGTTTCAGCTGTGAAGGAGGTGAGTGGGCGTGTCAGCATCTGGGGATGTTTCAGCTGTGAAGGAGGTGAGTGGGCGTTTCAGCATCTGGGGATGTTTCAATTGTGGAGGAGGTGAGTGGGCGTGTCAGCATCTGGGGATGTTTCAGCTGTGAAGGAGGTGAGTGGGCGTGTCAGCATCTGGGGATGTTTCAGCTGTGGAGGAGGTGAGTGGGCATGTCAGCATCTGGGGATGTTTCTGCTGTGAAGGAGGTGAGTGGCGTGTCAGCATCTGGGGATGTTTCTGCTGTGAAGGAGGTGAGTGGGCGTGTCAGCATCTAGGGATGTTTCTGCTGTGAAGGAGGTGAGTGGGCGTGTCAGCATCTGGGGATGTTTCAGCTGTGAATGGGCGTGTCAGCATCTGGGGATGTTTCAGCTGTGAATGGGCGTGTCAGCATCTGGAGATGTTTCAGCTGTGAAGGAGGTGAGTGGGCGTGTCAGCATCTGGGGATGTTTCAGCAGATGTATGTATCATGTATGTATTGTTTATGTATCATGTATGTATTGTGTATGTATCATGTATGTATCATTGATGTATCGTTGCTGTATTGTGTATCATGTATGTATTGTATATGTATCGTGTATGTATCATGTATGTATCATGTATGTATTGTATATGTATCGTGTATGTATCATGTATGTATCATTGATGTATCGTTGCTGTATTGTGCTTCATATATGTATTGTATATGTATTGTGTATGTATCATGTATGTATCATGTATGTTTCGTTGCTGTATTGTGTATCATGTATGTATTGTATATGTATCATGTATGTATCGTGTATGTATCATGTATGTATCATGTATGTATTGTTGCTGTATTGTGTATCATGTATGTATTGTTCATGTATCATGTATGTATTGTATATGTATCGTGTATGTATCGTGTATGTATCATGTATGTATTGTGTATGTATCATGTATGTATTGTTTATGTATCATGTATGTATTGTATATGTATCGTGTATGTATCGTGTATGTATCATGTATGTATTGTGTATGTATCAAAGATGTATCAGTGATGTATCCTGTATGTATTGTTTATGTATCATGTATGTATTGTGTATGTATCATGTATGTATCATTGATGTATCGTTGCTCTATTGTGTATCATGTATGTATTGTGTATGTATCATGTATGTATCATTGATTTATCATTGCTGTATTGTGAATCATGTATGTATTGTGTATGTATCATGTATGTATTGTATATGTATCGTGTATGTATCGTGTATTATCATGTATGTATCGTGTATGTATCGTGTATGTATCATGTATGTATCGTGTATTTATCGTGTACGTGTAATCACCAGGTGCTGCAGCGGACCAAGCACCTGCTTGCCTCCTCTGCCCCACGGTTGCGGCTGCTGGTGTTGGATGTCATCAGTCAGGCTGTCATCGCACTGCGTGACTGGAGAAGTAAGTCAGTCTTACAATCAGTTGAAACACTAATAGAAGGCTGTCATCTCACTGCTTGACTGGAGAAGTAAGTCAGTCTTACAATCAGTTGAAACACTAATACAAGGCTGTCGTCTCACTGCGTGACTGGAGAAGTAAGTCAGTCTTACAATCAGTTGAAACACAAATACAAGGCTGTCGTCTCACTGCGTGACTGGAGAAGTAATAGTCAGTTGGCCAGGGGTGAAAAACAAGATTTTCGTTCCCACATTTTCCTGTATACCTTAAACCTTTTCTATTGCATAAAGGAGGTATCTGTACACAATTTTCATTGGGTAGTAAGCTTGCAAGTGTGTGCAGGAATTTTCAGGGGGTCAAAATTGCATAAATTGACAAAATTGGTCGTAACATTTTTATTAAGTCATTAAACTATCCAAATTATGTCTTTGATTACAGGAAATATGTTCAATTATCTGAATTTGGCACACATTTTGTTTCACTTAACTGTTATTCTTATTCTCAGTGGAAACATTGGTAAAAATCATGTTTTTTTACTTCATTTTCAAATTTTGTGAGTAGTTAAAACACTAATTCCATTGAGTTGTGACAATAAAACCACTCTGGGTATTAAAATCTGCCTTAACCATTGTACTATCCTATACAAAAAACAAAATGAAAATATATTACATAGGGGTTGAGATATTGTATACAGTGTTACCCCACCCCCTCAAAAACAACTTTGACGAAAATTGCTTATTGACATATGGTTGTAGATGATTTTGCTGTAGTGGATGAGTGGGATAATTGCAACAATGCCTAAAAACACCAAAATTGTAAACTCATAAAGAAAAAATATGAATTTCAAGACGGCCGCCATTTTTACCTGTTTTCAAAATCAAGATCTTACATAGTTCTTCAACATGGTCATGTAATATATCATATGAAAGCCTTTTTACATTGTCTTTTTAATGATTACCTTATTCACTGACTTCTGTGGTAATCTTATCCCCAAATAATACAACAAATGATACACTAATACAAGACTGTCGTCGCACTGCGTGACTGGAGAAGTAAGTCAGTCTTACAATCAGTTGAAACACAATCAGTCGTACAAACACTTAAACTAATACTTTCTTCCGCAGACAGGGGACATTCTGTTTTAAAGTATTTTTGCATTGATCACATTTTTTCCTGATATCATTGAGGGGGTAGTGAATGAGTGAGTAAGTATATATTTCTGTTTATCAGATGAACTTCTGCCTCTGGTGCACCAGCTGTGGCAGCCCTTCTCACTCCGGTTCACAGATGGGGAAAAGCTAGTCACTATCAAGGTAGGCCATCAAGACAGAGGGTTAGGTGAAAGTGTTGTTCAAGGCCATCTAGACACAGGGTCAGGTGAAAGTGTTGTTCCAGGCCATCAAGACAGAGGGTTAGGTGAAAGTGTTGTTCCAGGCCATCCAGACACAGGGTCAGGTGACAGTGTTGTTCCAGGCCATCCAGACATAGGGTCAGGTGACAGTGTTGTTCTTCCAGGCCATCCAGACACAGGGTCAGGTGAAAGTGTTGTTCCAGGCCATCTAGACACAGGGTCAGGTGAAAGTGTTGTTCCAGGCCATCTAGACATAGGGTCAGGTGACAGTGTTGTTCCAGGCCATCCAGACATAGGGTCAGGTGACAGTGTTGTTCTACCAGGCCATCCAGACACAGGGTCAGGTGACAGTGTTGTTCCAGGCCATCCAGACACAGGGTCAGGTGACAGTGTTGTTCTACCAGGCCATCCAGACACAGTGTCAGGTGACAGTGTTGTTCCAGGCCATCTAGACACAGGGTCAGGTGAAAGTGTTGTTCCAGGCCATCCAGACACAGGGTCAGGTGAAAGTGTTGTTCCAGGCCATCCAGACACAGGGTCAGGTGAAAGTGTTGTTCTTCCAGGCCATCCAGACACAGGGTCAGGTGAAAGTGTTGTTCCAGGCCATCCAGACACAGGGTCAGGTGAAAGTGTTGTTCCAGGCCATCCAGACAGAGGGTCAGGTGAAAGTGTTGTTCCAGGCCATCTAGACACAGGGTCAGGCGAAAGTGTTGTTCCAGGCCATCTAGACATAGGGTCAGGTGACAGTGTTGTTCCAAGCAATCCAGACATAGGGTCAGGTGACAGTGTTGTTCCAGGCCATCTAGACATAGAGTCAGGTGAAAGTGTTGTTCCAGGCCATCTAGACATAGGGTCAGGTGACAGTGTTGTTCCAGGCCATCCAGACACAGGGTCAGGTGAAAGTGTTGTTCCAGGCCATCCAGACACAGGGTCAGGTGACAGTGTTGTTCCAGGCCATCTAGACATAGGGTCAGGTGAAAGTGTTGCTCCAGGCCATCTAGACATAGGGTCAGGTGAAAGTGTTGTTCCAGGCCATCCAGACACAGGGTCAGGTGAAAGTGTTGTTCCAGGCCATCTAGACACAGGGTCAGGTGAAAGTGTTGTTCCAGGCCATCTAGACACAGGGTCAGGTGAAAGTGTTGTTCCAGGCCATCTTGACACAGGGTCAGGTGAAAGTGTTGTTCCAGGCCATCTAGACATAGTGTCAGGTGAAAGTGTTGTTCCAGGCCATCTAGACACAGGTTCAGGTGACAGTGTTGTTCCAGGCCATCTAGACATAGTGTCAGGTGAAAGTGTTGCTCCAGGCCATCTAGACATAGGGTCAGGTGAAAGTGTTGTTCCAGGCCATCCAGACACAGGGTCAGGTGAAAGTGTTGTTCCAGGCCATCTAGACACAGGGTCAGGTGAAAGTGTTGTTCCAGGCCATCTAGACACAGGGTCAGGTGAAAGTGTTGTTCCAGGCCATCTTGACACAGGGTCAGGTGAAAGTGTTGTTCCAGGCCATCTAGACATAGTGTCAGGTGAAAGTGTTGTTCCAGGCCATCTAGACACAGGTTCAGGTGACAGTGTTGTTCCAGGCCATCTAGACATAGTGTCAGGTGAAAGTGTTGTTCCAGGCCATCCAGACACAGGGTCAGGTGAAAGTGTTGTTCCAGGCCATCTAGACACAGGGTCAGGTGAAAGTGTTGTTCCAGGCCATCTAGACACAGGGTCAGGTGAAAGTGTTGTTCCAGGCCATCTTGACACAGGGTCAGGTGAAAGTGTTGTTCCAGGCCATCTAGACATAGTGTCAGGTGAAAGTGTTGTTCCAGGCCATCTAGACACAGGTTCAGGTGACAGTGTTGTTCCAGGCCATCTAGACATAGTGTCAGGTGAAAGTGTTGTTCCAGGCCATCCAGACACAGGGTCAGGTGAAAGTGTTGTTCCAGGCCATCTAGACACAGGGTCAGGTGACAGTGTTGTTCCAGGCCATCTAGACACAGGCTCACCTGAAAGTTGTTCCAGGCCATCCAGACACAAGGTCAGGTGAAAGTGTTGTTGTTTCAGGCTATCCAGACGCTGGCCACCATGTGTAAATGCTGTGAAGACTTCCTCAGACAACGAATTGCCAAGGATGTCGTGCCCAAACTAGTGTCCTTCCTCACCACCCAGGAGAAGATCAGGTAGGACAGTATGTTGTCATCATGTAGGCATTGTGTTGATAATATGTTGACAATATGTTGACAATACATTGACAATATGCGGGCATTGTGTTGATAATATGTTGACTATACATTGACAGTATGCGGGTATTGTGTTGATAATATTTTGACAATATGTTGACAATACATTGACAATATGTAGGCATTGTGTTGATAATATGTTGACATTATGTTGATAATACATTGACAACATGCAGGCATTGTGATGATAATATTTGGACAATATGTTGACAATATGTGGGCATTGTGTTGATAATATTTGGACAATATGTGGGCAATGTATTGACAATATAGGGACAATATGTAGACCATGTGTTGATAATATGTGGACAGTACTTGGACAGTGTGTTGACACGTTGACAAAATGTGTCATTGTGTTGACAGTAGTAGACAATATGAGGACAATACTAGTGGACAGGCTAAGTTTCTAATCAGCCAATCAGCATCAAGGGCTTTCAGCAAAGCATTCGATGTAACAGATCTAGCTGTTTTCTCAAAAATGAATGCAAATAATCTGTTTGTAATGGTGGGTAATGTGACCACCTATGGGTGGCTTTAATAGTGTGGGACATTTTCTGATTGTAAAAAGATGCGAGGGGAGTTTGGTTGAGTAGATCGCTACAATATGTTGACAACATGTAGACAGTGTTTTGAAACTGTAGTCATATATATATTCAAGTTTCTGCAATGTTTCTACCTGAGAGGCTAATACATATATGTTGATCAAGGGGAAGTATGAAGTCATATATGTATCCATTCATTCAATGCTGACCTGAAGAAACTCACTATAAGCCGTGGCCCATCCATGTTTGCTACTTCCCCAAACTGAGTATGTTTAGGCCACTCCCACTGCTTGACTTCTGTTTACTGATTGGCTGACAGAGTGGTGAAGTGCTTATTGGCTGACAGAGTGGGTACGACTTGGGTTGCATTATTGTGCTGACAGAGTGGGAACGACTTGGGTTGCATTATTGTGCTGACAGAGTGGGAAGACTTGGGTTGCATTATTGTGCTGACAGAGTGGGAAGACTTGGGTTGCATTAATGTGCTGACAGAGTGGGAAGACTTGGGTTGCATTATTGTGCTGACAGAGTGGGAAGACTTGGGTTGCATTATTGTGCTGACAGAGTGGGTACGACTTGGGTTGCATTATTGTGCTGACAGAGTGGGTACGACTTGGGTTGCATTATTGTGCTGACAGAGTGGGTACGACTTGGGTTGCATTATTGTGCTGACAGAGTGGGAAGACTTGGGTTGCATTATTGTGCTGACAGAGTGGGAAGACTTGGGTTGCATTATTGTGCTGACAGAGTGGGTACGACTTGGGTTGCATTATTGTGCTGACAGAGTGGGTACGACTTGGGTTGCATTATTGTGCTGACAGTGGGTACGACTTGGGTTGCATTATTGTGCTGACAGAGTGGGAAGACTTGGGTTGCATTACTGTGCTGACAGAGTGGGAAGACTTGGGTTGCATTATTGTGCTGACAGAGTGGGAAGACTTGGGTTGCATTACTGTGCTGACAGAGTGGGAAGACTTGGGTTGCATTATTGTGCTGACAGAGTGGGAAGATTTGGGTTGCATTATTGTGCTGACAGAGTGGGAAGACTTGGGTTGCATTACTGTGCTGACAGAGTGGGAAGACTTGGGTTGCATTATTGTGCTGACAGAGTGGGAAGACTTGGGTTGCATTATTGTGCTGACAGAGTGGGTACGACTTGGGTTGCATTATTGTGCTGACAGAGTGGGAAGACTTGGGTTGCATTATTGTGCTGACAGAGTGGGTACGACTTGGGTTGCATTATTGTGCTGACAGAGTGGGAAGACTTGGGTTGCATTACTGTGCTGACAGAGTGGGAAGACTTGGGTTGCATTACTGTGCTGACAGAGTGGGAAGACTTGGGTTGCATTATTGGGCTGAACGTCATCACTGCTTGTGTTTATCTCAGCAGTCTGTGAAGTTATTTGTTGGGTGTAGGAACATTAAAACCGACATGCACACTTTGCACATATGAGCAATGCGATTTATACAGTGTGCACATTGTTTGTTATGTTTCTACCTTGATTGTTAAGCAATGGATGTTAAAGATGTAATATTGCTCAGTGAAGTATCTGTAGAGACTGCATATGAATACAATGTACAGTAAACTAGGGTTATAACCAACTGAAAGGGACCACTCATTTTAGTTCATTATAAGTATTTATTCAGCATTTATCATCCAAAACTGGCTCCCACAGGAGATATCTCTTGCTTGAGATCAAGCGATATCTACATTGTTGATATCGCTGCAATGAAATTGCATCACAATATTTTGCAGACCATTGTGACGTCATTGGTTACAATGACGTCACAATCAAATGACATCACTAATAGCTCTGCTACTGAGGCTGTTAGCAGTACTTTTTACACTTAAGACACTGCCTATTACTGTCTACAAACTGAAAAAGTTGGAAGAATGATGTTGGATGATAAATAAAATCTCACACTCGTGTCTTTTTTAATCAAATATATCAACACGAGTTGATAAAAGTGGAAAAGCTCCTCAGCGTGCTCCCGAGTTACCTCCCTTGTCTTCGCTCTTCTCTCTCTCATTATTTTGTACTCGCCTCGTGGTGTTCGGAAATAAAACCTCTCGCAACCGAAAAGCCTCTCCATCTTGTGTCCCAATCGTCAGTGGCCTAAGAGTGTCCGTCAAACCTTACTGGCGTGGTGGTTCCCACACCTGACATTCGGTTGGATCGTGCAAAACACTCAAAGTATCACAATCGCTTCACAGCAGACGATCGGTCAGTATTGCTTTTACTGGATAGCACAAGGTACACCCTCATCATGGCTAATACTGCGAGAGCACCTAAACAGTGGTGTTTAACCAAACACGAGACAGTTAATTCATTTGAGAACTGGCGTCAAAATCTTTTGTATACATTGTCACTAGATCGGAACTTTGCTCCATTCCTAGCGACAGGTGCTACATGGCTCAAGAAAACCGCCCATGCTCCCTTGCGTGGATTTACGGATGATAATGAGGAGGTTCCCGTCGCGTTGCGACGAACAGCTCTACAAAAGGTCAGTGCCCTGGAACTTATGCTTGGACAAGTAGCCAATTATTGCCCCGTTATCTCAAGGAACACTATGGTGAAGAATTCTACATCCATTGGTCAGATCTGGCAAGTTATCAGACTCCATTATGGATTTCAGTCTACCGGAGCTCACTTCATAGACTTTTCTGACATGAAGCTTGACCCTGAGGAACGCCCAGAAGATTTATATCAGCGCCTCATGGCCTTTATTGAGGACAATCTCTTGCGTCGGGAGGGTGCTATTACGCACCATGGAGTGATAATCAACGAGGACAAGGAACTTTCTCCCACTTTAGAGAACTTTGTTATACTCACATGGCTACGATTGATTCACCCTGAATTGCCAAGACTGGTCAAGCAAAGATATGGAACCGAACTACGCTCATGGACCTTAGCTTCCATCAAACCGGAAGTCTCGCAGACACTTTCATCTCTCCTAGATGAAATACGTACAGGGGATGACGTGAAGATTATGAGGGCTGCAGCGTTCTCAGATGGCAACCGAAGATCTCCATTTACCAACAGACCTCCAAAGACCTCCCCCCAACGCCCAAACAAGATGTGCCCTCTGTGCAGTCAAGCTGGTCGTATAGACATACGCCACTTCCTCAGTGTGTGCCCACACCTACCAGAACGGGAGAGGAAATACATGACGAAGGCTCGACAGATATCGCACATTTTGGACATAAACGACAATGACAATGAGGAGACAGAGGATGTTTTCACCATCGAGCCCCCAACATTATCTAAGTCTAACCTCTCAGCACTTAGGATCCAGGTCCGCCAATCTCCATATATTGATGTTTTCCACCATCATCATGGTGTCCGCCTCACACTCGACTCTGGAGCAACCGGCAACATGATTCGCCTGTCAGCCGCAATACGTCTAGAGGCTAAGATTACCAAGTCATCACAGTCAGCCCATCAAGCAGATGGATCCTCACCCCTAGAAGTCGTTGGAGAGACCTGCATGACATTTGCGCGCGTTGACAAACAGTTTTTGTTCGAAAGCTTGGTGGTTAAGGACCTCGATGTCGATGTCATTGCAGGAACCCCCTTCCTTGAGTGCAATGATGTGTACACTCGACCAGCTAAACGACAAGTGCACGTCGGTGACAATGCTACATATACTTATGGCTCTACCGACGAACCGACCACTCGTCACACTGTGCGGCGTGCAAGCCTTATACGAGCTCCCCATGTTGCTACAGTATGGCCTGGTGAATATCTGGAGGTAAGCCTTCCCGACGACATGTACTCTCAAGATGGAACCGTGGCAGTTGAGCCACGTATCGACTCTAGACAAGTGACTACAAAAGACGACTACATGTGGCCTCCACCTAGCCTCTTAACAGGTGTCTCAGGCAGGATCCGCATCCCAAATTTGACTGATAGTCCACAGACCGTGAGACGACATGAACACTTTTGTCAAGTCAGACCAGTTGCTATCCTACCGGACAACAATGCGACAGCCCATGACCCTCCAACTTCGTGTCTTAAAACCTCAACTGTTCATCACCAGGGCGCAAACTACTCTAGCCATGTCAAGTTAGATCCTGATTCTACTATTCCCCCATTGGTAGTGGCCAGTTTCAAGTCGCTTCTTGAAGAGTATGACACTGTTTTTGACCCCCGGTTCCAGGGTTATAACGAGAAGTCCGGTCCATTCCAAGCTGTTGTGAACATGGGACCTGTACTACCGCCGCAGCGCAAAGGACGTGTTCCCCAATATTCCAGGGACAGACTTTTAGAACTACAGACAAAGTTCAACGAACTCGAAGACTTGGGTGTCTTCGTCAGACCTGAGGATGCCAATATCTGCGTAGAGTACTTAAACCCATCCTTCCTAGTCAAGAAGTCTAGCGGAGGCTTCCGGTTG